TGAGAGGCCCTCTTCCTCCATATCTGCCTGTGCTTCCCCCACTGCCTTTACTCTTCCCAGCCACAGACCTTTGGCTGAGTCCTTACTTAGTCAAGATCTATAGAAATGGAAAATGTGACCATTTCTGTGCTGAATGAGTGCTGGAAAAGCAAATTCCTTGCTCGGCAGAGGGGAGATGGGCAGAAAGTACAAAGAATCAGGAATTTCCCCCACTGCTGGGAGAAAGGAGAGGGGGTGGGGTGGGGGATTCAGGAGGAGACTGACGGAGATGAGGATGGTTCCTGCACTGAACATTGGAGGCTTGATCTTATAGGGCCCTGCATTATTCTTCTCTTTTTACCTTCTTGATACGGGGTCAGGATAATCTCTTGCTCTAATTACCAACCTGTCGTCTGAGATTAGACTCCAGCTCCTACCTGTGAGAGAGGAGACATAAAGGATTAGAACTGGCTGAAAGAGAGGAGAAAGGAAGAGACGGAGAAGGAGCCCTCAGGAGCGGATTAGAGGTTACAGGTTTATAATCTTCTCTGTGCCCCGACCAAAAAAAAGTTAAGTCATGAAGGAATGGAAACGGCAAGGCAAAGAGCCTTTTATCTCTGCATTTCTTTCCTTCAGATGCTAAGAGCAGCTTTCTGCCTTCCTGCTGTCCCTGCCGAGTGCAACAGGGGGAAGGAGCAGGTCCAAATAGGTTACAAGCTTTCTGGCACGTTTCTGGAGAGTCTTCTTCTCAATACAGAGCCTGGCATGAAAGCTGGGCAATTCTGCTTGCTGGGGAATGAACTGTGGCACCATTTTGTCCGTGTATACACGGTTAAATGGCTGGGGGAGAACGTTGCAGGGAAAGCTGGAAGGCAAACAGGCCGTTTTAAATGGCAGGTGGTGCTACAAACAGGTATTTCTCTTTAAAGAGTGTTTCAAAACACGCTGCTGGGATCTGTGGAAGATTCCTGTAATCTCCAGATGAAAGGACAAATGCCCTTTCTCCGAAGAGCTGCTCAGCTTTGATGCTGCCAATGTGACTAAGCCTGCTGCTGGTGGGCTGGAAGAGCCAAGGGTGAATATCACTGTGCCTCTACCATTTTGAAAAGTGCCCAACCTGTCATCTCCTCCTGCCCCTTCCTCCCCAACATCTCCTACACAGCATCGAGGACTTTAATTTCTGGAGAAACAGAAAGGAGGAGCCTGTAGAACTATTATCCAGCTTGGTCATGCTTACCGGCGTTTAACCAGCTTGTGAAGCAGCAAAGAGCCCTGCTTTCTTCTCTTGCCCAACATGCCTTTGAACTGGAAATTCATCCTGAGCAGGGACAGGGGCTAGCTGATGCCAATGATCATTTCTTGAGTCGTGCTAAACGGTTACGTGAACCTAGGAACCATGCAACTCAAAAGAGACACCCAACTGTTGGAAGGCATGTGCAGCAGAAAGAATTCCTGCCCCACAGGGCAAACGATTCGGTTTGACCTCAACCAGAAGTTGAAAAATGCTTCCATGAGAAGAAATGAGAGTCGTCAAGAGAAATCTGCACTACCCAGATATCTTCTTTTTTCCCCATTCAGACTTTCAGCTGTTGTTAATTGAGACTTTGAGTTAAAAAGCCAGTCCTATCTGTAGATGTCCTGGTGACAAGCAAAGCAAAATGTGATTCATGTGTCCGGAGAAGGAAAGTAAACTGGTACAGGAGCTTCACTTCCCAGGGGAAAAGCAAAACAGAGAAACTGGAAGCCTGCTTTGGATCCCGGCCTCAGCTGGTCTGAATTGACCTGGTGCCTTTTGCATGGCTGAAGATCAGATGTTACATGAGTTGAGTCCTTGAGTGGTTGCATGGGGACTGGTTTAAAACTAAGACTGGGCTTCGTTGCTGGAGCAGTTAAGTGCCACTTCTGTGGAAAATGTCTTGTCTCATAAAGAAACCGAGAACAGATGAGAAGATGTCTGGGGCAGGGCATCTCTTGGGCTGTAGAGAAACGAATGACAGAAAAGTCCTGTTATGCTGTGACGACAATGCGCTGGGAAGAAAATAGCTTTTCGGAGTCGACAAAAGAAACCAGGTTTTCTCTAAGAACAGAGAGACAGCTTAAGGGGACATTCACCACGTGAAATCTGATCAACGTTAAAACCTGAGTTAAAATTAGTTTCAGGAATGGTTCCTGCCCCTGGGGCTTGCAGTCAGATGTTGTGGTTTTAGAGTCTCATTTTCCTAGTTTATTAAAATGTTTAGTTGCTTGTGAAAATAAGAAACAATCTCACGTGAAACTTTTCAGGAGACTGCCTTTTTTTATTCTGCTTCATGATGTTCTGATGTAACAGTTAAAGTTTTTGGAAAGGTTCCACTGGGTCTATTAAATTTTTTTTCTTTATCTTTTTCTTTTTTTATCTCTCTTCTCCCCCCCTCCCACCTTTCTCTATCTCACACTCCCTTTTCTCATTGCAGGAAAAAAAACCCTCTCCCAAGAAAAACCTCTCCCAAGAAGGAAAAGGCATGGAGACACGGTCTTTATATTTTACTGGGAAAAATGGGGTCAAAGTCAAAGGTGTTGGCATGACCTTGCTGTTGTATGACATTAAGTGTAGTTCGAGGTTTCAAGTACAGAGACCTCCGCCTGCCCAACACCATAGCAACCAACACTATTAATGATGTTTAAACTGTATACTGAAGATTCAGAAAAAGGAGAAGGAGGGGAAAAAAAGCAGTTACAGTATTTGAAATGTAAAGTATTAAGTGAGGCTTTCATGTTAACAATATCCTTTCTTCACTTTCCCCTTAGCTGTGAAGAATTTTTATAAGGAAACCCCTATTTGACAGCGAAAAAAAAATGCTAATGACTATCCTTTCTTTAGGGGGAAAAGAGAAGTTAGTTGAAATAGGTGGGAAACTGCAGTTGTTGCTAAAGACTTGAAGGGGAGAGAGAAGAATAGCAATGCTAGACAATGCTTCTGTGCCTGGTGCCAACTCCTCTTAACAGCTCTGCTGCCGAAGAAAAACACATTTTTAAGCCACTGTGGGATTTATCCAACTCGTACCCAGATCGCAGCCTTCAGCTCTCTCCCCAGGCCTCTCGCTACAGATGCAGCCTTCAAAAGACGAGCGGTTTATTAGACAGTAGCCAAAAGGTGAGAAATAGGAAGAGGAAGAAAGGAGATTGGAAGGAAAGAAACCACCAAGCAGGGCCTTGGAGAAAAGCATGGGAATTTCAGCTGTGCATTGAAAGTGCTGCTTGGGAACTGCTCAGCAATAGCGGGAAAGGGGTTGTTGCCTGGAGCCCCAGCTCGGGATGTTTTGTGATGAGGACAATTGTAGCCCATCAGTACCACAGAGGATGCCAGCCTGGGGGTCAGAGTTGACCTTGGAAGAGGTGAGATCAGGTTGATTGGCCCGGAACCTCCTTTTCTTTCTTTTTTTTTTTTTTTTTTTTTTTTCCAAATAACACTCCAGATAAGTCAGTGTCTTTTCATCTGACAGTTATACTCAATTCCTTACAGCAGATTTGGCCTCTTAATTTCAATACTTCCTCTGCCCTTGCTTACAATGCAGGCTCTTCAGAGAGTCCAGGGCTGAGATCAGCACTCTTTTAATTCATTTATTGAATTTCTTTTGTCTTCAATCCCTGAAAAACCCTACCAGACAACTGGCTTGCCCTTTTGCACCACAGGGCACCAGGGCTTTACACATCTGAGCACAATTCTGGGGTGGATGCGAAGGTGAAAGAAGGCAGGTGACTGCTTCTTTTGGTAACTGCATGGGCATGGACCATCCTTATGTTCTTCGTCGAGGCACCTCCTAGCATGGGATCTATGGGATTTCATAGTAACTGGGACTTTCTTCTGTCCCAAATACTGATCAGCTTATGGTTCCACTGAAAAGGATGCGAGTGTTACCACAGACATAAGCAAGGCCAGGAAGAAGAGCGGCATCCCAAATGTGCAAATAACTGTGTCTGTTCTCACCAGCTGATGCAGGAATTTTTCCTCTAGACTTTCTGCCCAGTTACCTGGGAGGTTAAAGGAGTACAGGGCTCTGCAACTATTGTTGCTCATCTGGCATTGCCTCTTTAAGGCTGTTCCTTGACAGCCTGAGGTTTTTGTTGCTCCCTGTTTGATCCAGCTTGGACTCCAAGAAAGCTGGGAACTCATCTCTCTCCCTGTTTGAACTGTAGGTGATTAATTACAGACCCTGAGAGTGGGCTCCTTGCCTCTCACTCATGTTTAAATTGCCTTCCAGGATTTTACAAGGCTAAGGAGCCTTTTCAGATGTTACATCTGACTGTGCCTCGGTCAAGCCTCCCTTGGTTTTGCTGGGAACTGCATCTGATTCATAGCGAACTTTAAGAACAAATTAAACTGAGTGCTTTGTATGTGGATTTGCTGGTCCTGACCCTTCCGCCTCTGCTTGAGAAGACAGCATCGATTCTAGCAACGTAGGAAAAAGAAGTGCAGCCAAACAGGGCAATAGGATTGGGAGAGATGCTGCTATTCTGAAGCCCTTCTTTCCCCATCCAACCCCCAGCACAGAGAGACTCTGCATCTGGTGCCTTTGGCCACAGTGTATCAGGTGGAGGATATGCCATGAAATATCCATCATTTGCACTAGCGGAGAATGCAGCAGCCCTGGTTGTGAGCCAAGGCCAGGTTGTGCTTGGTGCCGGACAGAGAGAAAAACGGTGCCTACTCTGAAGGACTTACAGGCAGAGACAGGGTAGGGAAGGAGGGGAGGGTTACAGGATGGGTGAGACGGTATTGTCACATCTAAGCAAGGGGAACAAGATGGTCTTTGGGACAGGGAGGGGTAGAGCTCAGGAGCAAAGATCCGTCTCCACCTAGAATACCATGAAGAAACAGATCTGAAGGATGGCTGAT